GGGGGGGGGGGGGGCGTGCTTTCTACTTCCTGTGGACTCTCAGAAGGGACACACAGTAGGTGTTGGAGTCCCAGGGAGTCCTCATGTGTAGTTCAAAGATGCTGCAGCCTGGCCCACACAGATCAGCAGTGAACTTGAGGGGGGGTGGGGAATGGAGGCGCAAATCAACCACATTCTTTTCAAGTTCGAGAGAAAGCAGTGGAAAGAGAAGGAGACAGGTGAAGGGGGGAAGTCTGCAAACCCTCAAGAGGAATGAACAGTGAGAAAAAGCGGATGCGTGGCCTTTTATTTCAAAGAGACAGGAGAGAGTTCTTCTCTCAACAATTTATGTCTCTCTCCATTTGGCTCATTACATGAGCCAAAGTAATGAAACTTCCCACGAGAATATGCAAACTCCAAAGGAAAAGAACTGATAAAAGTCGCAGGGTGGGCTGTTCATTCATGGCAAATGAGAGCTCACAGGAAATGTCCAAACAGGCGCCTCTCTCGGCAAGAAGGAGTGAGTTATCAAAAATAACAGTAAAAAAAGAAACACGGCGTATTAAAAAACAGAAGAGTCAGGAAAGTATATTGCCTTCTTAATAATAAATACGTTTCGTGGGCAAGAATTGCAAGGGAATCGTTTAAATTAATTTCCGCTTTGTTTGGTTGGTTTATACAGGGTTTGGTCCCAGCTGACAGCAATCTGTAAAAGTTCTAACATATTGGAAATCTGATTTTCTTACAGCCAGAGTCCCATAGTCCAAACTGATTTCTCTTTCAACTCTGCTAATCAGACAGGGCTCAAATGGATTCCTGGTAGAACCGAATCGCACTTGGTCTTTTGGGGGTATATTAAAAAATTTCTGGTATAAGCTTTAAATGCAGAGAGAGCTGCTGGCCAGTTGTCACTGCAGTGTGGTGTGAGGGGCAGTGGGGGGCGGGGGTGGCAATGGCCGTGGCTCGGATGAGCAACGAGGGGCCCAGGGAAGACCTTGCCCATCCCCGGCCTGCAAGGCTCTGGTGCCCTGCCTTCTCTTTCTGCCCCACCGATTGTGGAGCAGGTGTTTGGGAAGCCAGGGAAACACGACAGGAGAGGGAAGGAGAGAGTCCTGGTTTGAAGGCAAAACCCTGGCCACCCCGAGACTCGCATAATTGGGTTCTGAGAGGACCCTAGAGGACTGTCCTCCTCACCAGGCCCCACTCTCCCCCTCCGCCTGCAAGCCCGTCCCCACTGCTGGCCCTGACTGTCCTGTCTCCGGGTCCTAGCGTCCCTCCTCACTGTGCGCCCCCCCAAACCGAATCCATCTGTGAAAGATGCAGGCTTCACCTTAGAACAAACACAAATGTGATTGAACAGACTAAATAGAAGCCAGCAAGTGGGGCATGCACGAGGGGCCTCTCGGTTTCTGGAGGTCAGTCCTACGAAGTGCCACCCCCAGCCTCAGAGGTCCTGCCATCCAGGGCTGCCCCGCTCACCCGGTGTGATACCCTTGACCAGGAAATGTCTGGAGAGTGTGTGTGTGTGTGTGTGTGTGTGTGTGTGTGTGTGTGTGAATCAATCCCACACACGTTCAGCCCCTCCCCGTACACCAAGGGGTCTTAACCTAGGCTCTGTGAATGAACTTCAGGGTAACCCCCAGCCCCTACAATTATGGGCAAAACGCACACGAATGTGCATTCCCGCGTCCCCACCTCTTCTGGGTTCTCATGTGCCTCCATGGCCCCTAAAAGGGAAAGCACCCAGCTGTCCGCCCGGGTTTGCCTGCTGCCTTGCCCACTGTGCTTCTTAGATTCCGACCCGGACCTCGGTCCCGGCCCCGGAGCCAGGCGCACGGGCACCGGCCCTCGGCCTCCCAGGGTGCCGGTGGCGTCCGCGGCCCTTTCTCGCTCCTTCTCTGTTGCGCCGTCTCTCTCTCTCCCTTCCTTCCCTCTTGCCAACTGAATTCTCGTTTTTCCTCTCTCCCTAGTGCTTGTACGGCTGCTATGTCCATTCCTCCATCATCCCCACCTTCCACCGGAGGTGCTACTGGCTCCTTCAGGTAGGTGGCTGGGACTGGATTCTTCTTCCGTCTCCGGTGCTGCGGAAGGTCTGTGGAGGGAGCTGCGTGGGCGTGGGGTCCGGCGTGCGGCGGCTTCGGGCGGGGGTGCCCCGGCCAGAGCTCCTAGGGGCATTGGCGTGTGGTGCTGAGGCCAGGTGTGTGGCCGGCCTGGTGTGCTGTGCGATGCCAGGAAGGGGAGAGGCCTGGGGTGGGGGGTGGGGGGGGCCGTCCTTCCGCCCCATGAGAGTAAAGCCCCACCGGGTGCTTCCAGGGTGGCTCGGTTTCCTCTTGATGAGGACGGAAAGAAGGCTGAGCGTCTGCCCGACTGCAGAATGCCCGTTGGCCGAAAGCTGTGCGTTCACATTCTCTTGTGGGTTAGTCAGTCGTTGGCACTCGTGGAAAATCGGCTCTCAGAGGCATGCCAGCGGCAGCCGGATTGATCGGAAGGGTTGTTGGGAGAGCGGGGGCCCACGGCTCAGCGGGAAGGAGCCCAGGAATCGATCTGTGATGTCTGACGGAGTAAGGGGCGG